CTTTATTTGATAAACTTGTGTAAAACGTCCTGTGAAAACTCCTATGCATATATGTAGATACCTTTAATCCCATTTGACCTCATTTTGAGTTAAAGAGGTAGTGAGGGAAGCTCTTCATTACCATCCCCCTTCACAGCTGAAGTGTCTTCAGCCCAGAGATATCAAAATGAGGTAACCCGTTGAATTCGTCTCATTTTTCAAATTACTATTCCATTGCACAGAATATGCCAAGAGATACTTCAAATTTTTAAGGCAAAAAGCTGAACCTTGCATAGCAAAATGAACTATATATTTTTATTAAATTAATGAAAATAACTTATGATTTACTGTTGAGATAGAAATATAAAAAGCCATTGTTACTATGTCCTACATAAGGCAGGAAAATCTGAGGCAAATTAGGGCCTTGCCTCTTTTCAGCCCTGAGTGTTTAAACTCTTTTCCTGTAGCACACCACAAGACATAGCTGAGTAACTGCTTTATTTTTATACAGCCATTTAGAAATTCAAGAAAATAAAATCTCAAGTAACAGATGAGTGTAGCAAAACTGAATTACATAATAAAGGCCATAAATGCAATTTACATTCCCAGTGGAAAGGCTCGCTGTTAAGTGGTTCACTTGTGACTTCTGTGAGTCATCAAACATATAGTTCCCTTGGGAGGAGTGAGAGAGGGTTTATCAATACTCCTCAGAACCCAGGAGGACGTTACGCATCGCGAGCGGATAGGTAGGCGATGACTGTGATAGACGGGAAAATCGATGATGGCTCAGTTTCATTGTGTTACAACTGGTGTGCCGGTCCCAGCTTTTATTTTAAAAGGTCACACCTGGCCATCCCTCAGTCTCTCACATGTTTTACAAGGCTGCGAGCAACACCAATTTAGAATACTCCCAGCTCTCACACACTTCCCTCAGGCCCCATCTACACAATGCCACCTTAAAAACAAAAATATCTAAAAATATTAATTTCATGATCTCGTTAAAAGGCCAGAGTGAGGCCTTAATGATAGGGAAATAAAAGTGGAATTAAGCTCGGTTATAACTCTTGCCAAGTCCTGGATCAGATTGGACACCTAAAGCTTTTGGGAGGAGAGAAACCTAGTCAGTCTAAATTTTACTTATACTTTGGAAAATTAAAGCCAAATCCAAGTTTCGTATCTATGTGCTTTAGATGCATTCTCATAACCTTCACTGAATTCAAACTCATTATAAGACTGTTACATTTTTTTTACAATTCCTTGATTTTTAGTAAAAGTCAAAGTTGTGTAACTGTCATATAAGGTTATTTTTTCCATAGAACTTTATTCCTAGGCTATTTGGGAGAGAAATCACTTATTAAAGGCTTGTTAGTGGTAGGAACACATGTTAATTGTATAGTACTAGTTACTCTTTCATTTTGGGGTTTGGTTTTGATTTTTTTTTTTTTTTTTGCAGAAGCAATGCATAATAACTAAAAGCATGTACTCTAGAATCAGGCAACCTGGCTTCAAATCTGTTTGGCCGCTGACAGTGCCACTTGGAATACCCTAAGTGCCCAAATCTTAGGGTTGCTGTGAGTCTTACATGAGTTAATACATGTAAAGTTCTTGGAACAGTACCTAGCTCATAGTATGTGCTATATAATTCTTTGGTCTTATTACTCATATTTTTTGGATGAGGAAGATAAAGCAGAGAAAAACTACCTGAAGTCACAAATCCATTGTCACACCTCAAATGAGACCTAGAACAAGCTGAACAAGATTTCTCTCCCAGCATTGTCCTTCAAGATATGGCCACTGTAAAATCCAGTATTTTAAATAAAATACATTTTTTTACATGTCCTGCCCAAAGTATGCTTGAAGTCTCTTGACTAACTTTAAATATTATCCACTTAGTATTACTAAAAATCTACATATATAATACTTAATATATCTCTCTTATACTTTATTACTTAACATGTATTTATTGAGCATCTACTGTATACCAGACACGCTACTGTATACACAAAGGAGCACAGAAATAAGTAAGCATGGCTCCTGCTTTAAAGCAGCATTCTCAGTTGTACTACATCCAATACCACCATCCACAATGACATGCCTGGATTAATTGTCTAAAACCGTGTGTGACCCAGAACCCATCCCCAGTACCTTGGGGTCTTCTTTTTACAATTGTAAAGAAAAAAGGGGGGGCTCATTATTAATATTTATGACTTTATTAAAGTCAGTGTTCATAGAACATTCATAGAAAACTACTTTGAAAGTTCTATATGATCACAAAGAAATAGCAATTGGCCACAACCTTCTCTATGTACATCTTTATTTTAATGTTTTTACTGAAAACTTTTAATAACTTGAACAAGATATACCCCTCCAAAGCAGCTAATGTATTTCTGCCAGTCTTTAATATTATCTTACAATTATTATTAAAAATAAAACTGAACTAATTTTTTTCTGAAGAAAGTTCTGAAATAGTGTGGCATTGATTATATGATAGCTGGTGGTGGCCACGATAGTGACACTAATATCTAACATTTAACTTTGTCCTCTCCATATGCTGGATGCTTTGCGCTCTGCATTTTAAAAAATTCATCTCTTATAGCCCTCAAATTTACCGTAAGAGGGATGAATATTTATTAACATCTATTGAAGAGAAAACTGAACTTAAATAATTAAGTAACTTACCTAAAGTTAAAAGTTGTTAAATTTCAAGACCTGAATTCAAATCCAAGTTTATCTGACAACAAAAATCTGTATGCTTAACTACTATTTGATAGTACTACTCAGCATAACCCCTTAGAAAACTAATATCTAAGACCACTAACAGTTGCAATGTAACTTTACTTAGAAAGTGGTTTCCTCGTGTAGTGCTTTTTTCTATTGATTTTAATGGGATAATTAAATGTGTAGAAGGCAAAAATATTGATTAGCATATCTAACATTTTTTAAAGATGATATTTGACAGAGATTATCAAAGATCCCACATACATGGACTCCTGTGAGCACTTAAAATAAGAGAACCTCAAATGTTTTCACAGCTCTGCAGAGTACGCTATATTGTTATCAAATCACCAAACCTTTCTATCCTGTGTAGGCCAAAAAAAAAAGGAATAAGATTAGACTTCTGTGGTGAGAACCATGCAGAAATGCCAACACATTTTTTTTCTGTTGTTTTCCAGGCTTGACCCATTTGCAAATGTAAATACCAGTGCCTGGAAATTTAAGTAAACACCTTGTGTAGGGAATATTAGATATTCCCAATCTCTCTAACATATGCTTCGATATTTTCTTTTTTGAGCCATTTAAAAAATCTTTCCAGTCAAAATACCATTGTATTAGCTCTTCGATATCCACTGTTTCCTTTTTGCCCCAGTTTGTGTTATGCCATGTGTTGCATCTGTAGTGAAGGGTGAGTATATGACTACCAGGCACCGCGTCTTGTTCCTCTTCTTCACCTGTCCCTGCTGAACTCTCAGGAGAGTCACAGCCACATTTTAAAACCATACAGCACCTACTAACTAATGGTACCCAACTTCATCTTATTTTCAACCCTTGTCTTTTATTTATCTAAGTTTTTTAATCTTCTTGTTTGTATCCATATTACGAATTTTCATAAGCCCCTCAAAATTGTTAATTGCTGCTCCTGGCCATGCGATGTTATAGAAGAGAAACTGAAGGGCTCCTGTCACCAGTAGGCTCCTAGATGCGACTGTATTCTACTTTCTGTTTGACTTGTCACCCCCTGTTGTCCCCTGAACTTGGACTTCTTCACAGCAGTATCATTCGATGGGTGGTCCTCAGAAAAATGCAAAGAAAGTAAGAATATATTATCCATGAACACACTTTAAAAAGTGCAGTGGTCCTACCACGTTGGATCATCCTGAATTTGGGTACATTTGATTCTGGGAAGTCACATGTGCAGTGCTGAGGGAAGCAGAAGCCACTTCCCTGCTAACATTAAAGTCCGTAGAAGATATTTCACCCAGGTGTAGGTTCCTTGTCTTCTGCATGTCATTTGGGTGAACAGTATCTTAGTAAATGCAACTTTTGTGGCATTTAACAGCAAATACATCAAGCATCTTTTTAATGTGTATATGACATGTGTCCAGAAAGTATCCAGCCATGTGCTATGAAAAAGAGACATTTATTGAAGAAGATACAAGAAACATTGTACATAAGACAATAACACCTCAATCCCCTTCAAAGTAGGCACTTTGGCACACAGTTCTCCCAGTTGCCATCAGCTGCCCCATTGTATTTTTCCTGAATCTCATCGACGGTCTGAAATCTCTTTCCCTTCAAAGGTGATTTTAGTCTTGGGATAAGCCGTAAGTCACAGGGTGCCAAATCTGGGCTGCAGGGGAGCCGAGTCACTTGGGTGATTTCATGTTTCACCAAAAAACGTCATGCATGAGCGGGCATGTCATTGTGCTGAAGCTGCCAATCACCAGTTGCCCATAGGTGTGGCTTTCTGAATCATCCTAGTAGTTTCTGTGGAAGGATGTTCAAACTTAATGCAAAATTTGATGAAGATTCATTGCTCTACTCGCTCAGTCATTTTGAATGCAATGGCCACACAGGATACATGCTCACTCAATGGCATCTACCACTCCCACTGACTAGTACAGTGAAGTCATCATTGTTCACACATGCGCATACCAGTCCACTCTCCTTGGCTGCCAGGTTACATCCATGTCATTGCAAACTGTACTCTTTATATTTATGAGGCTGGAATTTTTCTGGACAGACCTCATATATTAAGAGAATGTGACTGGATAATGATAAAATCTACTCATTTCCACTTCTCCCAATGGAAAAGCAAGCTTATGTCTATTCCTAAGAATAGAAATAGTATCACCTTGAAAATATCTTATTTTTAAATCAACTAATGGTTTTTACCTTCATTAATGTTAGATAAGAGTGTCTTTTTCCAAGAAGTGTTTATCGGCATTTGTATTGTGTCTTCTTTTCTTTAGTACGAAGAACTGGAAACATCATCTAAGTTTTGTTTGTTTGTTTGTTTGTAGTGTGGAGACGATCAATGATGGAAACTTTCACATTGTGGAACTACTCGCCCTGGATCAGAGTCTCTCCCTCTCCGTGGATGGAGGGAGCCCCAAAATCATCACCAACTTGTCAAAGCAGTCCACTCTGAACTTTGATTCCCCACTTTACGTAGGAGGTAAGCTCTCTTCCAAATCCAGTGGGTCCCCAAAACCTGTGATTCTCATCAAAGACTGATTCTGAAGTTGTTGGTGCCTGGTGCCGTAGTCATTGACCAATAGTGATCAATCGCTGAAAGATGGACAGCAAAGATAGAAAAGAGTGAGCCCTAGATACCTGTTAAGGGATCCTTTTGTAAATACCAGCTCCAGTTTTAATGTGTCATTGAGGGGAAGGAGAACATTCTTATTTCTTTGTGTCTATCACATGCTGGGTGATTTACACATCATAGAATTTCATCTTGTTATTTGATCTGGTCTGTGGAAAAAGAAAGCCGTGAGAGGTCAAATCAGACAGTGAAAAAAGGACGAAACAAGTTTGATTACATACTATGGAGTGCATGACCTCACCCCAGCTCCTGTGAGGAGGTGAACACTCCAGCTTCTGTGACATCATGCTAGGAATGTCCTGTCATCTACAATGAGTTACTAACTCAATGAGGATACATATTAATGAAATAGAATGAATGAATGAATGAACTTATGAACCAACTAAATGTACAAATTGTATTGGGGTAATAGAAAATATTTTTGTTTAATTGTAACCTTATTGTGAGCAAACGAGAGAGAGTTGGGCAGGCGGATTCAGGCTTGGAGTAATAAAGACGTCGGACTATTATTAAGCAAGAGGTCAGGTGAGTACGTAGGTGAAGAAAGAAGTATGAGCAAGATTCTGAAGAAGTCCAGAGAGAAGATTGACAAAGGAGAGAGCTTCCATTCTTGCCTCTATTGGGAGGAGCCGATATAAACTGGAGACATAGAATTTCAAATTACAGGCAAAGGAGCAAGAAAGCATGTGATGTTGAATTAGATCACATTGAATTGAGGTGAAATGACTGATAAAATTAACTTGTTTTACAGATAAATAAGCTAAAGCTTTTCTACAGGTCAGCATAACTGATTTCTTCACCATGACAAGCATTTTATGAAGTTCACATCATTCCCTTCAAAATAATAACCTTTGGCTGCTACACAATTTTCTCAGCCCCCTCAGAGCCTTCCCTGACAGCATTTTTTGGAATTATCCTGAACGTTTGGAGCACTTTTATTTTCAATCATTTGGAATAGAAAATTTTAACACTTTTGATAGAGTTTTTGAGTTTTTAGAGGCAGTTAAAAGTCTTTGGTTCCATTCTGTAAACATTTATCGAGCATCTCCCATATGCCAAGAACTAAGCTAATAGATATCTGAAGAAAAGTTGAAAAAAACAGTTTCTTCTGTGCTCAGGGGAATGGGGAAGGCAGACACCTCTTCAAGTCATGAAATGTATCACATGTTAAGTCTGTGCAGCAAGTTGACTGATGTAGTTGCTACATGGGAATCACAACTGTGAGATTCATTGAAAGACAGAAGCCTTCCTTTTTACCTGTACTACAGTCAACAGCCGTGGCCTTGGGAGTGGAGAAGCAAGTCACGGATGTACCTGAGATGGGAGCGAAAGTGTATCGACTAAGCACATGCTATGCACTCAACACGAAGCTTCTTTTACAGTCTTATTCCTCAGAGACTTGAGGAAGTAGATATGATTTTTTTGTTTGTTTTACAGTCCCGAAGAGGCAATCTCAGGGACTTCATAAAACTCAACCCAGTCCACAAAGCTCTGAAGTGATAGACACCTCACTTAAGTCCAGGTCTGTCTGACCCAGAGCCACCTGCATTGCCACTCACTGATTAACATAGAGCAGAAAGGGATGCAGTCAAAGGTTTGTGGCTTTTTGTTGTTTTCTGGAGTAGTTCTTCACTTGATTTCATCATGCTTTCATTAGAAACAATTTCATTAGATCTGTGTAAACCCTTTTAGAATATGATTTGTGACGGCGGGGTGGATTACAGAACAGGAGGGCTTGAGTCGGAACATTTTTCAAAAAAGAAAAAATATATTTTAGATACCAAACTAAAAGCAGTCATCCTCTGGCTGGTAGAGGGCCTGGATGTGCACCCCACGCGGCTGCCCACCCCGGCCTGAAGGAAACCACTTCTGTCCCCGCCTCACTGCCAGAGAGCAGAGCAGACAAATGTCCTCGTACCTCAGAGTGCAGGGTAATTCAGATTCAGGACAACAGTGTGGTATCGCTGCGGGGAGAGGGAAATAAGGAGACTAAATGGTAATGGGAAGAAAATACAATAAAGATTAAATTTTTAAAAATCTTTTAAAAAAACAAAGAAGAAATACAAGGCAATCATAAAACTGCAGCCCTGAATTCTGTATGATGAAGGCAGGGAACCTGAGGTAGCAAAGGAAGGTGAGGTAAACAAGCTCTCCTTTGTCTCCAAGTTTGAAAGGAGGGGTTCTCCTCAGTGAAGACTCCACAGCTTAGGCCCCTTGCAGAATGTCCTCTAGCAAAAGAGGGAGCCAGCTTTACCTTACCCTTGGGTTACCCTTGCCTTCCAGGCCTTGCTCAACACAAAGCAGTCTGATCTTTGTGCTTTTCTGTGTAATGATCCAATCAGAACATGTAGTATTACCTAATGGGTTCAAAAACAAGAGTTAAGACCTACACATAAAGACCCATCAATGTGTCACAGACCCCCTAATGCCACCCTTGGACAGAAGACCTCAGCTCTGACCCTTAATGCCTTTATTGTCACTTTAAAACAGGTAGAGCTAGTTAAGCCTAAAAGCCTCCTACTGAGTTATCTGCTGATGGAACTCCAGCTGCAGGCTTGGAAACAAGCAGAAAGGGGAAAAAAACAAAAACAGGGACCTACTTCTTCTCTTTTAATAGTTTATTTTTTATTTTTATTGCATTTTTTCATCACCATTTATCCCCCCTCTACCCTCTGCCACCTCCACTACCCTTCCCCCTGCAGTCACCACACTGTTGTCTGTGTCCACGAGCCCTTTCTCCTCTGCTGGGTCCTTCTACCCTGCCCTGCCAAAGCTGTCATCCTGCTCTCTCTCTATGGGTCTCTCTATCTTGCTTGTTAGTATCAGTTAAGACCTTGTACAATTGTTAGCTTTGGGAATAAAAGGAATGCCTTTCCTGTTTGTCCCCGCTGTGGAACATCACCGGTCTGTATTTATTCTTGACGTATGCACATATATGTATTATAACCCAGTCACAATGAGCTATTAAAAATAGTTTGGAAAGGTATTCTTTTTTTAACCTCTGAAGAAAGGCCATAAACATGTGGACATTAAAATCCAAACATTTGTGATAGATAAGATTGAATTAGGACATCGTGTCCCAGAGTAAGGGATTCCCTGTCGCTAGCCCTCTAACTTGGACTAGTGGCACATTTCATCCCCTGACCCTGCTCTACGGAAGCGCCCCAGTTCCCAAGGCCAGATGGACATAGATGAAAACCCTAAACACCCAGAACTTCAAAGGCCAAGCACATAACTTGGTGCTGCCCACGTGCAACTGTGGACCACCGCATCGGAGTCACCTGAGTTGCATGTGAGCGTGCAGACTCCTGCACGCCGGGCCTTCCTGCTGAGTTGGACTCCGGGCAGGGAGAGAGGGGGTCGGAGAACCGCTTTCTGAGCGTGAACGTCTGCTGGTCCTCATGTATGACTAGCCTGGAAACAACTCTTTTGGTCCATCCTCTCATGTCATGGACAAGAATACCAAACCTCAGCGAAGGGAGATGACCAGCCCAAGTACACACAGAACCAGCAATCAAGACTTGGACCTCTTGCCCTGTGGTGTTGTGCACCTAGCTATCTGACGGTGGCGCCTGCAAGCAAGGATGCTTCGATGGGAAAGATGACGATGCCACACAGCAGGGCCCAGAGAGTGCCGAGGCTCTTGGGCCTTACAACCATTGTACCCCCCTAGACTCTCCAGCCAGAAGCTCAGAGACCCCGCAGGACAAGGACCTGAACACCAGGGTGAAGTCAGCTCTTCTCTGAGCCTCCCGCAGTGACCTGGACAGTTGCCTTCTGTTGGAGCCCCTCCAGGAAGTATTTCAGGGTCTGGCTTAAGCTGTGGAAAGATTCCTCAGTTTTGCCAAATGTGGGTTGCTAGATGACTATCACTAGTGGAATGAATATATACAAAGACTGCAAATTCTATGTGTGGAGGAATTTATTTTGTATTTCCGATTCCCTGGAATATGATGGCTTCACTCTCCATTATCAAGGAACAAACTGATGTGAATGAGGTGCCATCCTGATAGGAAGCGTGGTGAGTGTTTTCAGGCACTGAGATCCGCGACCGGGCTCCGGATGTTGTCAGTGGTGAGCTGGATTAGTCTCTGGCTCAGAATTTGGAAGGACTAGTGTCCACGGTCACTGTGAACCCCAGCTCCCGCCCTCAGAACCTGGATGGACTGAACCATGACGAGAGATTGCAAGGTTCATCTCACCTGCCTAACTCTAACCCAGTCCTCTTGGGTGACACTGAGTATGCCACCTGAGCTCTTTGGGCCCTGGGCTCTTCGTCTTTAAGAGACGAGATTGGTCAGGGAGTTACCAGCCTCACTTTGTGGAACTCTAGGCTTCTGGGGAGTCATGTCGAAGCCGAGGGGGTGAGTGCAGAGAGAGGAGAGAGCACTGTCCCCTCCCCCTTCCCAATCCCGCCTTTCAGATGTTGTATATGTATTCCTCCATGTTGGGTTTGGTTTGAAACAAATATTAAAAAGTAAAGATTGACCATCAGTGAACTAGGTCCTTTATCTAGTTGTTCATTAAAATTGCCCAGAGTTTCATAAAAAACAAAAGCAAAGAAACATACGTGTCTTCTCTGCCCCCCGCCACCCTGCCCAGAAAAGGAGGTCTGGGTGGAGGTGCCAAGCATCAGTATTTCTTCCAGGAGCCCATGGGATTGTAAAGTGCATCCAGGTTGAGATCCACAGGACTGGATGCTCGTGACATCAGTTTCTCCTAAAGAAGTGTCACACAGACGGCCACCCTGCTGGAAGAGCTAAGAGCAGCGTCTGGGTGGCAAATGGCTGAGGAGTCCCCAAAGAGCCTGACCTCTGACTCGCTGTCCCTCCCCAGGCATGCCCGGGAAAAACCACGTGGCTGCGGCCCTGCGCCAGGCCCCCGGGCAGAACGGCACCAGCTTCCACGGCTGCATCCGCAACCTCTACATCAACAGTGAGCTGCAGGACTTCCGCAAGGTGCCCATGCAAACCGGCATCTTGCCCGGCTGCGAGCCATGCCACAAGAAGGTGTGTGCCCACGGCACGTGCCAGGCCGGCAGCCCATCAGGCTTCACCTGCGAGTGCGAGGAAGGATGGACGGGGCCCCTCTGTGACCAGAGGACCAATGACCCCTGTCTTGGAAATAAGTAAGTTTGTGCTCCTTGGTACGTAAACACCCATATTGCAACCCTCAAAGCAAACCCTAAGGGAGGAAGGGCGGGGAAGCGGAAGGAAGTCAGCTCCTTAAACTGCCTCCTTCATATTTCTTCCATCACCGTCCCTCCATCCTTATCCCTTCTGCTAACCCATTTTCGTTCCTGCGTCCCTCCTCTCCGCAGATGTGTGCATGGCACCTGCCTGCCCATCAACGCCTTCTCCTATAGCTGTAAGTGCCTGGAGGGCCATGGGGGCGTCCTCTGTGATGAAGAGGAAGATCTGTTCAACCCCTGCCAGGCCATCAAGTGCAAGCATGGGAAATGCAGGCTCTCGGGACTGGGCCAGCCCTACTGCGAATGCAGCAGTGGATACACTGGGGACAGCTGTGACCGAGGTAAGCCAGCCCACTGGTCACCTCCCCTTCTTAGAAAAGCAAGAGGGGCCTCGTCTTTGAAAAGAGAGAGAAAGGGAGACAGAATGAGAGAAAGCCAGAGAGAGGGGAGTGATGTGGGGAATGCCGGGTCTTTTATAACCTGTAGTTGCTGCTGCCTATTTCTTTCCCAGTGTTTTGAAGGCAGCAGCCGGGAACTGTCCTATCCTCCCCTGCAAGATTTTTACTGGCCAGAGGCTCACAGTCTGCTCTGCAGAAATACTCCTTTCTGCCTCCCATAGAAGTGTACTGTACTTGACTCCTTTCTTACCTTTACCTGATGTTCTCACCCAAATATGTTACGAAGTTGTCTTCTGGCGTGGAGAAGAGGGAGCTGATAATTTGGCTCTAGTGTGAGGACAAAATCACCTGTGACCTTAGAATCGAACTAATTTATCCCAGTGCATTATGCAGGCAAGACAGACGGAAACAGACTGACTTGCTAGGCCACCTTTCTCCCCGTCCCGTGTCTGCGTGCCCAGCATGCCCTGCCTCCACCGGGCACGGGTTCGGTTAGTGTATCAGGGGACCAGACAAGAGGAACGTGCCCATGGAAGCTTTTAGCAGATGGCGCTTTTTGAACTAGTTCCTACCAGGGTAATTTAAGAAGTTAGCGGTATGTTACTTGCATTAACAGATTGAATGATATTAAACCTCAGGTCTAATAAATTAAATCGCATACTCTCTGAAACTACTCCCCGCGGGGAACAGAACCAGCTGTTGGGAGTGTAAAAACAGAAGATGTGTATTTTTGCCATAAAGGAAAAGACTTAGGAATCCAATATTCTTGTCAGTCCAAGGGCCATAATATTTGTAGTTCACATTTATAGTATGCTCTCTGCTGAAAATAAAGGCCAAAAAAGAAGCATTTTGCCAAAAACAGTGGGCCAGGCCACCAGTCCATAATATGTCATATAAGCGTAAGGCTGACAATAGCAGTAACAAACAGGAAGCAGACGTGCCACCTCTGATTCCAGGTGTGGGTTCTTGGTCATCCTGCATGACTGCCTTACAGAGACGGCCCTTAAAGTGCTTGTGCTTTTTGTTCTTCCCTAGAAGTCTCTTGTCAAGGGGAGCGGATTAGAGATTACTACCAAAAGCAGCAGGGCTATGCCGCTTGCCAGACAACTAAGAAAGTCTCCCGCCTGGAATGCAGGGGCGGGTGTGCCGCAGGGCAGTGCTGTGGACCCCTGAGGAGCAAGCGGCGGAAATATTCTTTCGAATGCACTGACGGGTCCTCCTTTGTGGACGAGGTCGAGAAGGTGGTCAAGTGCGGCTGTACCAGGTGCACCTCCTAACCGCCTCCCTGGCCGCTCTTGTCTTTGGAAGATCTTGTCTCCTCCTTGACCATGTTGGACTCATGAAAGCTTCATAGTGGAAATATTTGAAATATATTGTAAAATAAAGAACAGACTTATTTTTATTATGAGAATAAAGACTTTTTTTCTGCATTTGGAAAAAAAAAATAGAGATGCTTGAACTACAGCTTCCCCGACGCTGGAGAAGTGTGAAGGCAGATAACCCCGGAGGCGCGAGAATGACATCGGGAGCCGCGGCGGCTCGGGTCCATCCCTGGAACACTCTGAAGACAAGCAGAAGCACACATACACACAAGGGAGGCTCAAGCTATGGCGCACTGATGTGAACGTGCCCTCGCCCGCGTCTCTTGTGTTCACGAGGACAGACCAAGCACATGCGTGTGAGTGAGGAGGCAAGGCAGAGGAATGGGACCCAGCACCCACAGAGAGAACAAACGGATGAGAAGTATTTGGTGCAAAACACAGAGTCCCAACAACCTGGGTTCCATTTGTGAGAGAAGACGGGGATGCTAAAATTTTATCTTCTTTTTAAATGTCAGCATGTTAGCAGAAGAAGCACACAAAAGTGTTTATCTACCGTTTTCCAGTATTAATTTTTTTGTAATATAAATGATAAAAGAGATGATAAAGAACCAATAGATTATTGATAAATAAATTAGTAATAATATGAATTTTTGTTTCTATGAGTTCTAAACAGCCCTATACAGTATTCAGTTTTGATGAGAAATATTTATTGTATCAAAGTACATTGTACTTAACATTTTAGGCCATCTTTTGCTGTTTCTCGATGCTTTAATATATATTAATTTATAATTGTCCTGATATTTTTGTACATTTTTCAAACTTAAAAATCAGGATTTTTTTTTTTTTTTTGGCAATAGTACTAACATAGGGTGTTATCTTGGGATAAATGCGTGTTGGTCTGTTTACTTTGACATCTGACCACCGATGTCACCGACCTACTGGCCTCACTCAGGACACCTGCAGAGAGTATGTCATGTCCTTGCGTGAGACAGTCCTGTACAGAAAGAAGTGGCCCCTCTGCAACCTGTCCTCACCGAACAAAAATGGTGTGTAGCAATCAACACTAGAAAGTAGATCTTTTACAAATTAATGTTCCCTTGACCTTTTTGGCCCTTTGGGGGAGGGGTGGGTGGTGAGAGAAAAGGCTGTAATGTTAAGAACTGTGATTTTTTTTCCAATCAATAAAGCTCCTTTGTTACCTTAATGTTCCCATGTTAACATGTTTGCTGCTAAATTGCAATGTAGAATTGATAATGATTTATAGTGGACTGTGCTCTTCCCTCCTTAAAAATCCCAGGGTATCCTGTAAAGATGAAGATGTTTCTTTCCAAACTTTTTTTACAGAGAAAATTAGATGTACATGTACAATTCAGTGTGCTTTGTCTTTCTCCAGACTAATATCAGTTATACTACTGATGTTTGTAAATTAAACAGATATTTACTGCATTAACAGCTTGGTGATTTTCTTAGCAATTGCACAGTATTTTAAGTCCTCTCCTTAAGAATTCTTTATTCAGAGTGATACAGAAAGAACAGAGAAGAGAACCTCCATTTTTTCCTGTCAGACATTATGTTGCAGTTAGCACCATGTCACTTCTTAGCACTTTGGAATGACCACATAGAAGAGATGGTAGAAGGAAACATTCTGTACTAGGAAAAATGTGCACATTCAATTAATTTATTCCCCTGAAAATAGAAGGTGAAATCCAACTAAACCACGAATGGTATTTTCATTTTGTTCTTCTTTTTCCTTCAATTAGAAAAAGATGGAAAACAATGAAAAACAAGGAGTGTCTTTCTTCACAGGCATACCCAGGCAGATGTTGGTAGTGTCAAGGTACCACCTACACAGGGAGACAACATTGGCTGGTTGGAATATTAATGCCCGCCCTCCATGCGGAGATATCCTCATTTTCCTGTAAGAAAATCACATACGTGTATGTACACACACACATACTCTGTCTTTCACACACACAAGGGTCCAATCATTTATTCACGCTTGTTTAAAAAGTCTACATTTTTAATTACATAAATATTATAAAGTCAACTTAAAACATTTTTTTTATTCCCATCAGTTACTTCTCTTTTTTTCCAAGAGCTGTGGACCATTCATTAAGCAAAGGAACATCTACATGGGTGACATGGTTTAGATTTGTGTTTATAGGTCTGGATTATCTTAAGAGCCACTGTTTCTTATAGACTAGGACTATGCCTAGGGCTTTATATGAATTGCTGCATTCAGCTCTCACTACAAAGCCACACATGGGGTCACCGCACTCCCTACTTTACCCAGACACAAACAGCTAGAAACAGAGGAGCTGAATTCCAATGCCCATGCTGCAGCTCGGTACTCACAACCCTCTACTAAGGTTCCTTTAAACCTTTGAGCCTCATTTCCACAACGCAATTTTTTTTTTCCTCTACTGATCATTGTTGATTTAAGTAATCTAGATTAGAGATATTTGGGGGGTTTTTTTTGTTTGTTTGTTTTTTAAAGGGGAAAAATAGTGAGTCTCAGTAATTTCCAGACTCTTTTATTTTTCCCCTCCTTCTTGCTTATAAAGGCACAAAATAGAATTATCTTCACCTGAGGTTTGGGTTGAGTTAGCAAGTTCCTTAAGGGATAGTTTGCCTTGGGATGAGACTACTTTCTGTGCATGAACTCTTCTTTGAGAAAATCCAATAGCCAAATAATTACCAGCAAAGGAAGGACAATTATTTGTGTTATAAAAGCTTCCTTACTTTTAAAGCCTTAACCATAAAATTACTTTAAGAAGGAAACTAACTATTCTAGAGCATTTCCAATAGAGCCCAATCCATTCAAAAAATATTCTGCCCATTTCAAAACTACTATACAGAATAACGGCCATTTGTAATTTGAAAAGGAGTGATTAAAAATCATTAAATGTGTTTACTTTAAAATTCTCACACTAGTGAGACACCATCAGGAAATGCAATGAAGATTTGACATGTGTTCAATTTAAGATGTGTTCATTGAATAACTATCTCAACATTTTCAGATTTCCTGAAATTATTTCTAAGCAGTAATAGACTAACCCTGGTTTTAGAATTGCTGTGAGCCTTTTTTTTTTTTTTTTTTTTTGCAAGGCTTGCTTTGTCAGCAGCAACATTTTCTGGGGAAGTGATTGAAAGACTGTTGAAATCAATTCAAGACTTACAGATGTTGAGTGTCACAGTGTCATCTGCCTCATAGAGGCCATTATTTCAAAAGGGGTGTTTGTGAAAATGCATAAGCTTTAAAAAGTATCTGAAGCTATGTAAATTACATAAGCTATTTTTGTTCATAATCATCTCTGTGTGCTCAAAATTTATTTAAAAATACCTCTTTATTTCCTATCTCTAATCACTTGCAAGAACCATGCTGAACTCTGATATTAGTGCAGAGCAAACACAGCCCTGCTGCCCATTGAGAGCATGCGCTCTATGCGGCTGGGGCTGAGGTTAAGGTAGGTAATAGATTTTCTAGAAACCACCATACCAACATTTAGTTTCAGACTGTGAGCAGGACCCTGAAGGAAATTATGAGATATTAGAAAATAGCATAACAGTGGAATCCAATCAAATCCATGTTGAGAGGTTAGGGACTGCCTCTGTGACAAAGTGACATTTGAGCTGAGTCATGAAGGATAAAGTAGGACCTAGGATGGAGGCAGATGGAAATAGATGTGGGGGTCAAGGGTGAGGGTCCTGCAGAGAAAGCAGCCTGCCTATAGGCCTGAGGAGGGAGGGAACTCTTACGCAGCGCAGGTAACAAAAGAAGCAAGTATAGGCAGAGTGAGGCATATATTGATTTCATGTGTGGAATACAGAGGCCATTTTCTGGCTTTTTAAACTCACTTCTTATAGTCCAATTTTTCTTTTGAGCGTCTCTTTGCCATGCACTTTGGAAATGTCAACAAAAATGGCTTTCCATTTTAAAATGGCAACTAGTTTTTTTGTGTTTAATACTGTTCCCCAGCTTCAAATGAAATACCTCTGAAGATACAGGAAATATAAATACTTATAATAGCATTAAAAATTAAGAATAATATATCTTGAATCTCAAAAGAATTTCCTGACCTCAAAAGCTGATGAGGCAGGATTGAGATGAGGCACTGCTGGCCAGCCTGTGCTTTGAAACTCATGCATTCCTTTCTCTGAACACCAAGGCTGGAGACTCAGGAAGTGAGTCCAGTGGAAAATCATCAAATATCTGTGCATTAAGAGCGGCCACTTTGTGAGGATGCCACAGAGCTGTGCCTTCAATGAATGCAGTAAAATCTTTCTTCATCTGCTAGGATCCTCCAGTCTCATCGATGAAAACAAAACTGCACAAAATACCCGGGAAGATCTTGAAAGGTGTAGTCCCTATAAATAAACTGTTGTGGATGTGAATTAACCCTGGAAGAGCCATGGTAGCGATGCACGCTGAGAATAATGGGAAGAGGGAAGTACTTTGTCAGTACAGAAAATCAGAGGACAAATGCTTTAATATTGACTCACTACTAAAATAATAAAATGGATTGAGCAAAAGCACAGTAGTGGAAGTATACAAATTATATTTGGGGGTGACTAAGAAGTTCAGAATTCTCTGCTGGGCATAGAAGTCTATGAAGGTTGTCTGAGTAGGAAAGCAGTTTGTCCAGATCTGTAATATGGGATTTTAGATGATTGCCAAATTTTAAATGAATTGATCAGGTGACTGTTTTTTAATTCTAAAAAAGTGAAGAAAGTAACATATATGCAAAAACTCTTTTCCAAATGGATTTTTCGGTTGCCTTCCTCCTCCTCTCACAAAGGGGAAATGAAGGACGCTCACAAATGCTCACTGTGTCCAGAGATATAAAATTCAGCCGAGTGAAGGCGTTGCCACTGTACATTTGTAAGTACTGTAACTTTGTCTTTGTGTCAATGGTAGGTGGTTGAATTAGGATTCTAAAGAAAATCAAATGTTAAAAAAAAAACCCCACACACAACAAAATGAGGGAGTGGGTGCAACCGCCATAAAGGCAATTGTCTAAAACCTTGCTATCATTAATCTTACTCTCCCTTCTTGAAGTGGCTAGAATTATTTTCCGTTTGTTCCCATAGATTGTGGCAGAGAGATTAAGCGACTTGCCCAAGGTCACACAATCCAAATCTCCTGACTCCAACCATAATGCAATATTGATTTCACTGGAATTGATAGGCAAAGTCTGCGAAGGGCCTTGTGCTAGGGAAACACGTATTTCTCAAGGCAAGTTACAGTATTTTGGTTTTATAAGAAAAACGCCCATGAAGAGCACTCACTTTCCCCATAAGAACACGTTAAAATCTTCTCTTTGTCTCCCATTTGAAATAAATAGTACTCTGAACTGGAGTTTCTTCCAGGGACTGAGGCGGGAGGGACAGAGCCAGTTTTCCGAGGCTGCTTCAGGATTTCAGGTCATCGGTCTGGTCAAGTGGGCCTTGGTTGAGTGAGGCGACAGGGAGCGATTGAATTGTGCTGCTGAGATAGTCACAAGGACAGCATCGGAGTGCCCTGGTCTGGTTATAACAGGGGCAAAGTCGCAACCTTGGATTCATTCCAGGTCTCAAGGCATCCTTTATAAAGGAAAAAAAA